CCAAATGAGCCACTTGGCTTCATTCCTGACTTGACCATTAAACTCCCAGAAATGATAAACATTTAACTTCTCTGCATAACATCCATGCATTATCCACTAAACAGGTAAAGAGAATACTCAAACTTGTCAGGTAGAAGTTGCTGTCACAATTTTACACTAAGTTCTTGACACTAAAATAAAAGGAGGTGTGTAGTGACTAGAGGAGAGAATTAACAATCTAATCTTGGGAGTTAACGGGTTATGTAAGCAATAGAACACTTAATAATTGCTGTTTAGAACTTTATGGATTTAAAATTCATCATAACTGTCATTGACTCTTGAAAGGTCCTCAAGAAAATGTGAAAAATGAGCATCTGACGTGGCTGAGATCTGGACTCTGTGCAAGACGTGAAAAACTGGATGGATTCTGTCTCTTCTTGTAAGAGTTGATTCTCTGAGTTGGGTTTGCTATGTTGTGTCTTTTCCATCCTGTTAAAATAAGTTTGCATTTAGTTACCACACTCTTTAACCCCAGAAGTGATTACTGGTAACATATACCTTCTTTTTATAATATCCATCCATGCAAAATACCTGGAAGGTCATTAAATAGGAGGTATATTGATGTTTTGTAAATTATTAACTCCATAGCACAGTTTTTGCTCTGTGATTGTCAAGCAAATGAGTTTTTTTTAATTGTCCATTTGATTTTAAATAATAGATTGGGTGTTATACTTAAAAAACTTGATCTAAGAGAAGAAGCACTTGAGGTGATGCTAGAAGCTGTGAAGAAGGAGCCTCTACATTGGGGCAGTTGGCTGGAGCTGTCATCTCTCTGTACGGACAAGGAAATGGTATGAGTTGTTTGTTACTTATGTATTTACTTGAATGATTCCATGCTACTCTTGATTAAATGTTGGAGACAGAGGCTGTGCCATCCTTTCTTGAAAGCGTCACTGAATTAGCACTTGCCATAAATGGTTTGAATGCAGGAGTGAGTGATATTTGATCCTGCAATCCTGTAGGTGGGAGTGTTCTTGAGAAGGACTGTTGTCTGCAGTAGTGTCTGATATTGCAACACCCCTTTGTAGATGCTATCATCTGAGTCAGTTGGTGTCATGTATATTATTTTATTTTCAGATTCAAGTAGAGAAAAGGAGTTTCCTATCATCAAACCTGGAACATTAGTTTTTAGACACAGACCTCTTTCATAAAAAGCAGACATAATTGCTGTTCTGTTTATTCATGTAAATTAGCCTTTCAGACCTTGACAACATGATTAAAAAACAAATAGAATTTACACTAAAAAATAATGCCAAGAAGGTTTGTAATCTGCCTACACATACAAGAAAAGTAACCATGAGTGCCATTATGAAAGAGATCTGATATTATGTGTTTTTCACATTTAGCAGTGGTCTTTGACCCTCCCCTCCCATTTGATGGCTTGCTTAGTCCTGATGTGTTTTCTTTGTTAGACCCTGTCAGTGACCCTCCCCTCCCATTGGATGGCTCACTTAGTCCTGATGTGTTTTCTTTGTTAGACTCTGTCAGTGACCCTCCCCTCCCATTTGATGGCTTACTTAGTCCTGATGTGATTTCTTTGTTAGACTCTATCAGTGACCCTCCCCTCCCATTTGATGGCTCACTTAGTCCTGATGTGATTTCTTTGTTAGACTCTGTCAGTGACCCTTCCCTCCCATTTGGTGGCTCAGTTAAAGTTACATTGTGTTCTTTGTTAGACTCTGTCAGTGACCCTCCCCTCCCATTGAATGGCTCAGTTAAAGTCATACTGTGTTCTTTATGTTTAGCTACAGTCATTGACCCTTCCCTCCCACTGGATGGCTCAGTTTTTCCAAGCTCATGTTGCAATTGATCTTCAGTTGAATGAGGAAGGACTGGAGAGATATACAAAACTGAGCCAAGCTGGATTTGCTGACAACAAATATGTCTTACTGCAAACAGCTCTAGCACAGTACCATGCCAGAGGTACAAGTCTGTCAAGATTATCTGAGTGTGGTCAATCTCTCATAATTTCTTGTTGTTCCACCTACCTCTATGGTCATACTTATTTGAAATTGGAGAGCAGTGATGCCACAGATTCTTTTGCTAAAGTTTGAGGGTCTTTGAGCAATTATTTTTTATTCCTTTTACTTTTGCTCACATATTTGATTTTCAGGATTTCAGGCTCAAATTTCTACAAATTTAGTATTTGGTAGCCTAAAATCAAAAATGATCCCCTGAAATACAGGGCTAAAAAGGGCTTCTGGCTTTCCACTGTATTGTAATGCAATGGTTTAATTGACCAGGATTGATATAATTTTGATTGAAGATATAATTCAAACATCTTATAATGCATCTGGTTGAGTTTCCAAAGTTACAGAACTACAGAAGGTTGTAGCTGAGATAAGGGCTGTCAAGGGAGAATGCACATGCCATCTGTGAAGTCAGAGAGCTAATGATATTGAACTAAATTTTACAAATTATGTATTGGCTATTGTTTATCTGTTGGTTGCAGATTTTGATGCTGCATGTAAGCTGTTCAAACAAGTCAGAGAACAAGATCCATGTTCCCTAGAGCACATGGACACTTACTCCAATATTCTTTATGTAAAGGTGAGTGTTAAAATGTTTTAGGGCAGTTTGATATTTTTTTTAGTTGATGGTTGATAGGCAGATTGAAACAAGAAGAACCATCTGCCATCCTTCTTCTCTTAACTAAGTGAACAAAGTAACACTGATATAACTTTATTTAACTGGCTATTAAATAGAGGAGCATTGATTTTAATCTTGCAGGAAATGAAACCAGAACTTAGTTACTTAGCACACCACACAAATAGTATTGATAGGTACAGAGAGGAAACATGCTGTGTCATAGGTTAGTATTGCTCTTGACTGAAAGTTCTCTGTGGCTCACAAAAGTTGTTATTAAACCAACTTTTTTTAACTTCAACATTAAATAAATGGTTTTTTAATCAGATTCCACATGTATAAATTAAAGAAATTGCTTGGAATGATCTTTTAGGAAATTATTACAGCCTCCATGACCAGCACGAAAAGGCTGTGACATACTTTCAACGTGCTCTGAAACTAAACCCACAGTACACATCTGCTTGGACTTTAATGGGGCATGAGTTTATGGAGAGGAAGAATACTTCAGCTGCTATAGAAGCCTACAGGAAAGCCATAGGTAAACTGTTGTGTAAAGATGAGGTCTTTTATGCTAGTTGCAATATTATTATAATGAATTTTTTTGGGCACTTTCACATGCAAGAAGTGGTATAATCCTGAAAACACATATTGTTCAAGGTGGCTATGTTGTAGGTTAAAATGAAAGTCATGTAAAAATGATTTTAAACTGCCGGTGTGCGGACAAGAACATCTTTATGCGCTGGACTGGGGTTGGTGGTTTGGCTTGAGACCTGGCTGGGTTATAGTGTTGTTTTCTTGGGCAAGACACTTAACATTTACAGTGCCTCTCTCCACCTACAAGGTAGGATTGGGAATGGGTACCAACAAATTGTCTGGGAAGCCTGATGAGTTGCAGGGTGGGGGACTGGACTGGTATCTTCTCTAGGGGTTAGCAGTGATACTCCCATTCACCTCATGCCATGGAAGTTGGAATAAGCTCAGGCTGGACGGGTCACTTGAGTCTAGAACAGAATAGATGTGTAGACAAGCACTTCATACAAGAAAAAGCAAGAACCATCAGATGCTCAGTGAGCAAATAATATAAACCTTTTCAAGTTAATCTCAATCGTCATACTGAACTAGAATTCGTTATTGCTTTCTAGAAGTCAATTATCGAGACTACAGAGCATGGTATGGATTAGGACAAACATATGAAATTCTGAAAATGCCATTCTATTGCTTGTATTACTATAGACAGGCTCACAAATTCAGGTATTTACCATGATTTCTTACCAGCTGATTTTGACTGTGAAGATTAAAGTGTGTTTGGGAAAAAGTGTGGCCAATAAAACTTTCTGATGTATTGTTTTGCAGACCAAATGACTCAAGGATGTTAGTTGCTTTGGGTGAAAGCTATGAAAAGTTAAACAGTATGCAGCAAGCTAAAAAAGTGAGTTTTTGTTTTCTGTAGTTCTTACAACTTTTGTCTTTTGTCTCCAATTGTGGAAAATGACATTTAGCAGTCCATCAAAGTTGGCTGGATGATCGAAAAAAATTTTTTTTCAGTGTTATTTCAGGGCAATGTCAGTTGGTGATCTTGAAGGGATGGCTGTGATAAAGCTAGCAAGGTATTATAATTTATTGCTTTTATGTGTAATGAATACTAATATGTTGACTTAACTTGTAGCTTACCATGTTTTCTGAAATGGTTTTCTGTTTTTGTTAGATTACACGAACATCTTAATGAGGATAATGACGCTGCCACTCAATACAACCGTTATGTAGAACAGACAGAAGTTGTTGGAGTAAGTGTATACTAGACCATGAAACCAGCCAATGATTTATCAGATTTATAAAAATGAATGTTGTTGATATATATAATATATATATATAATATTATATATATATATTTTTCTTTTACAGGTAATGTCTGTGGCTGATTTGTGTTCTGCATATGTGTTTTTGGCAAGATACAATCTGAAGAATAGAAATCTAGAAGCTGCAGAGATGTATGCACACAAGTGTTGTGAATTTAATGAGGTAAATTAGTTTTTTTAGTTCTCTTTTCCTCATTAAACAATCATTTGTTTAACTGTCGTTTTGTCTTTTGTCCGTTCATTCCTTCCTCTCCTCCTTCCTACCTTTCTCAATCCTTTCCTTTCTCCTTTCTCCTCACACTCACTCCTTCACATTCCTCCTCCCCTAGACCTCCCTTCCTTTTTCCTGGCTTT